CTTGGATGTGCAGGTGCTATGGTTTAGGGTGATATCATGTTGAAACAATGGTTCTTGTATGATCACAAAAGTTAAGCAAGATTGAGCCTGGTCACTACCTAGATAGGAGACTGCTTGGAAATAGCAGGTAATATAAGCTTGGATGAGTGGGTGGTGTAATGGATAATGGCTGGGAATTGGAAATCAGGGACTCAAGTTTCAATTCCAGCTGAGTTCATTATATTCACATGCAAATATCCTTTAGAAAAGTATGAATCCACCATTTCTCCCCCCCCAAATATGGGTTAATTAGTATGATGTGTAGTAGTAAGTTATTATTATCTCTCAAAAGTTCTTACAATTTAAAATATTTTCTAGCTTTAAATAAACTGCAAAAGGTTGATAAGCCATAAAAAAAGATCAGTCAATCAATCATTTCATTGAAATCAAATATTATTATAATTTCTTGAGAGCTACAGCAGAGGATGCTGAAAAGTTCTTGGCTTGAGTGAGAAAGGATTAAAATAATTTTGATATTTGACTGTTTGGGAAAATGGATTTTTCAGCAATGTATGATAGTAAGCAGCCTGAGATCTTAGATGACATAAAAGACCTGCTTTAGGTAAGAGTCTACTACAGATGTTACATATATACTCAGGTTGAAAATTATCTAGGACTCAGTTTCTGTCTTGTTTCTTAAGAGACAGTTTCAAGATTTGCACAATCAGCCAATGTTTGAAACAATCTTGGAAATCTGTAGAAATCAAAAGAACAAGAGAGACTAAGGATAACTGTCAGAAAAGAAAGACGTCAAAACATGAATCAGAAAAAAAAGTAGGAGCTAAGGGAGTTAAAGCCACTAAGACGCAGGGGATTACTGAGAGTGAAGGAAACTGAGAAAAGATTACGGAGGAGAAAGGACAATAAAAGAACAGGAATCAAAGGGACAGAAAATGATCACCGATATTGCATTAAAATTTTTGAAGATCAAAGTTGACTTTGAAAAACTGAAAGAGATTTCCACAAGTGAGAAGTGCGAAAGAAGAAACTATTGGAATAGAATTGTGGCTGAATTTTGAAATTTTACCAGTAAATAATAAGACCTATCTGCCAATCTAATACCGTGCTTAAATTTGCAAAGTTAAAGTGCCAAAGAGGAAAGCTAATCAAAACAATTAGCATGAAAATATAAAAAAGACAGAGAAAAGCTACAGTATGGTAGAGGGAAAGTAACTGAAGTCAAGATGCTCAGTCAGGGCTGATGACATTTCAGATTTTTCTTTGGAAAGGTAATAAAGCCACTAAGTCGCAAAAAGTTACTGGGTAAGAGAATATGAGAAAAAACATTAAAGAGAGAGAGAGAGAGAACAATAAAAAAACAGGAATTAAGAAGATAGAAGATAAATTTAAATGCAATGTTAATCATTTTGAAGGTCAAAGTTAGTTGGAAAACAAGAATCCAGAAGAAAGTTCCACAAGCAAGAAGTGTAAAAGAAGAAACTGTTAGCACAGAATATGCAGTTACATTTAAACTATTTCAACTCTAAAATGGTGATATCATGCCACTAATTTAGTACAGCACTTACGGTCATAAAGTCAGTTAAGTACCACTGACATAACAGATTCTACTTTGATTTTATCAAGAATCTCTAAATACATAGCAGAAGCACCAGAGCAGATGTGGTAACAATATTCAATCTAAGGACAAATGGTAGATTTATAAATGTGCAAGATGGATTCTGGCAAGAAAAATTGTGAAAGAAACACAGAGGCCAACAATAAAATGAGAGAATTCAAGGAGACAGAAGATGATGATTGATGTTGCATTTAAATTTTGGTAGAATGTAGTTGAGAGGAAAGTAAGAAGTTGGAAGAGAAGTTGGTATGCAAGAAATGAGACCGATCTACCAATTAGTACTATGTTTAGTTAAGGTACTAGAGAAGAACTGCCATGGAAATATTTATAGAAATCAGTTATTCTAGAACTGATTAAACAGCAAAAATCAAGATAGGACACCCAGAAAAGAGAGAGGATAACAGAAGAAGCAATAGGTGCTCAAAGGACAGTGAGTACAGATAGAAAATGATTGGAATTGTGTAGCTTTTATTCCTTGGGGGAGTTGACTGACATGTATACACTTTGTGTAACCATCTGTATCTGTCGTTAATTTAATATCTCCTGGTTATTACCTATTTCTGAGAAAATTTTTAATTTTTTCTTTTTCACTTTGTTTGAATTTAAAGTAGGTCATATTCTATTGGTTGATCAGGGTAAAACCCTCAAGCCTTATATCCCTTTTCCATATTTTTTCTTATTGTAAAAAGAGGATGTATATTGCTTTTGAAACCAAATTAATCATTCAATCACCAGTAACTTACAATCAACTGAGGAGATACATTGGTATGTGTCGAAACATGACTGAAATTGTGTAGCAATTCTTACATGTTGTTTTAATATCCTAAAATAAATAACATTGCTCTACTCTGTATTGAGCCACCGTTTAAATTAAATGTATGAAAGTTGGAATTTTCATCTTACCAGGATATATATATATATATATATATATATATATATATATATATATATATATATATATATATATGCTGCATGTGTGTTTGTGCAGGAAAATTGAATTTCTATATTAAGCAAAATATGGGTTGCCTTGTATCTTGGTTTAAAAGGTCACATTAGTACATTTGGATCCTTTGAATTTGGTAAGTTTATTAAAGGAGTGCCCTCGTTTTTTTACCTTTTAGGTGTGTAGGTGGTGAGGATCAAATTATCCAGAAAAGATAAGGAATTACTATTTTAGAATTGTAAAGCTACACAGACACACACAGACAGACAGACAGACACACACAGAACTTATTATGGTACCAGTTTTTCATTTATCGAATTTTGATTAAAGACCAAGTTTACTTGTAATGTGTTTTGTCCTTCAGGCTCTGATGAAGTCCATATGGACAAAATGCATCACAAATAATTATTGGGAAAAAATAAATTTGATGTTTGATCATTTGATTAGACTTTAGGGAATGAGTTGAATCAAAAACCTTTCAATACACACTGTATATCGTCTTCTAATATCACAGTGTGGAAGATCTACTTACAAAAGTGATGGAAAGAAAAAGACTAAATGAATTTGACTAGATAAAAATATAAAAATTCTAAAATTCCCAACACCCCTCTGTCATGTATATGTGTAGTCCTATCAACATAACAAATTTAGTCCAATGAAGTCGTGAAGGATGAAATGCATCACAAGTAAATTTTTCCCACTTTGTCATTTAATTTCACCAATACTGTTCTTGATATATAAAAAAATATATCATCTCATTAAAGACCAATTAAATTTTTTTTTGTTTAAGGATTTTTTTTATGTGTTTTATATTCTTCGTTTCTGGTCAAAATTTGAACATAAATTGTCAGATGTTTGAGTATTTTTGGATTTTATAAAGATTTTTGTTGTTAACATTATGATTATATCTAGAGTTGGCTTTTTTTTTTTTTTTTTTTGAACATTGCATTTTCCTGCATCAGTTTGTGTTGCTGTGGTTGGGTTTATTTTCTACTAGCAATAGAACCCGGCATTGCCCAGAGATGTAACAGTAAGAGATAGATCAAGTATTGACCATCATAAAGTCGGAAAAATAAAATTAACAAAGATTATTGTTTAAGGTTGACGGATACGCATGTCTTAATTAATTTTGTTTTTTTGTTTTTTTTTACGAATTGGTCAAACCCAAACTCAAACAAAAACATTGTTTTCAATCATTATGAGTCTATCAATTGAATTTGAATAGAATTTTATTATAAACAATTGTCTTGTAAATGGAATTTTTAAAGCATTCTGAATGTAAAAATAAAGAAAAAAGTGTGCAAGACAATAAGAAACACTACCTGCCAAAAAAAGTGAAGTTTTGTTGAAATCAGTTGAAAAATGTAGGAAATCCGATTCCATATATAAATGAACACACACACACACATACACAACCTGGGATTTATAATAAGTATAACTCAATATGAGTTGTCTCCCTTTCATTCTTGCAACAGCGATGCCTCTTAATTGTGTTTTCAAATTGATTTCGTGCAAAAAACAATTGTGTTTTTCCAATTTTTGGCACTGTCAGAACCACTGCAAGGTAATTTTACATAGTCCTGTGAAGTTTTGTTGAAATCAAGAAAAAATGTAGGAAATCCGATCCAATATATAAACGTACAGACAGACACACACACACACAATCTGCATTTTATAATAAGTAAGATTTTAGTTATAAAATATATTTAATTTTTTCTTAAATCTGATGAAACTTTAGTGATGGGTTTCTGTTTAAATTTTTTTTTTTATCATTTATATTGTTTGCACATTATCACAACATTTTGGTGATTGTCAATCCAAATTGCCCAGATTGACAATCACATGATGAAGATCAGGGGAGGGTGACAGTGGTTAAACATTGTGATAACAAGAACAAAAATGGAGACAATAGTCCATGTGTAAATAATATAACTAATGATGTTGGGTTGTTTGCTGTTTCTACTTGTATCTGTAATCATTTTATACATTATGTGAAATAGTATTTTATGTTAATGGTAAAAATTTATTAAATCTTTTGTTTCATTGTTACACTGGTTGGCAATATCTGATTTAATTGAATTGTTTTTAGGTGAATGACATGATAATGTAGTGGGTGTGTAACGAATGTATGTATTGTTCAAATTCTTATTACTGAAGAGATGTTCTCCAAGTAGACAAGTGAATTCATTGACAACATTGGTTTGTTGAAGTATATATATATATATATATATACACACACCCACAGCATTCAGGATTCCCTTGTTGAGTGACAGTGCCCTTGAGAAATCCTAAGTAAACCAAGAATCCAGTGGACCAAAGGTGATCAGAAGCCTATTTGGACAAATCTTGACAAAGATCTTTCTTTTTATCCTTAATACCAATCTTGAGGGTTTGATAGGGCAACAGATCAGTTCCTTTTGTAAAATAATATACAACGTTTGC